TTTTTTTTTTTTTTTTTTTTTTTTTTTTTTCAGTATATTTTACTAATGCCATGCCTGCTTGAACTCAGTTTAGCAATACAGTGACATCCACAAAAATGTTAAAGAAGGAACCTTTAGTAGCAAGGATCACTAAAAGCAATTTTTAAAAACTCCTAAAAACTATGAAAATGCTTGCACAAAGAAATCCATCTCTGCTATTTGTCAAGTACGATTTAACTCTTTGTCAAATGTACGTAAAAGTCCTTTAAAATAAATGAGATGTTTTAAGAGTTTTCTAACATTTTCTTTTCAAACATTTTTAGTGTAGAGAACCTAAGACTGTTAGTATTTCACGAATTTTTCCATACCTATGTTTTTACTTTTTAATTAAAATTTATCTCTCCTAAATTTTACTGAGCAATATATCCAAAATGGGTTTCTTGAAACGAACATTTTTACACTTTTTTAAAGAGCTCTTTCAAAATAGACAATTTTTTGTTTAATTGACAGCCGTGTTACACGTCAATAAAATGTTAATCTTCCATTTTGTCAGAGCCTCGGGAGAAGAATCCATCCCACTGAATTCAACCTAGATTCCTCCTCAAAACATATAGGATTATTCCTGGGAAAGGCAAAATGTGGAAATGAAATTTTACTTATAGCGCTATTCATCTTTGAGAAACTTATCCCCGTCATCACAAAATGGGTTTATTCGAATCCAAGTGTATCTGGCCCACTGTGGATCAGCTTGAGGAGGCGCTAATGTGACCCTCATTAAAGGAGTACGACGAAAATGTTGACTCGCCAATGTTATGGTTCGATATTTTACCTGCGCCTTGCATGAGGTCTTGAAAATAATCGCGTCATCATACGAGAAAAATTACAACACCGCTGCCAGCTCGTGCTGCATAAGTAGGCTTGATCGACGATGAGCGATGCGAGTAATTATTCGATGTTGCAGCAGCGCGCGCGCTCCCGAAGTAGGTAATCCCATGGGTGTTTTAAAATTTCGGGTGATCCGGCTTTGGTAACACAGAATCTTCATGAGTTCTTTATGGTAATCAGCGTCAATGTCGATGCTTGACCCCAGCACCGCCGCCAGACTTCTCGAATTGATCAAAAATTATTGACGTGTAATATTTCATAATTTATCCCCGTGTTTGATGCCAGACCGGTAGCAACACTGATATCAGAGAACCATATCGATCAGTGGAAAGGGAGGAGGATCGATTATCGATTTTTCCTCGTTTGAGGCTATGGTAAAGAATCGATTTTCAAGGTGTCCGTTGCGAATACCCCATTCATCGATCCTTTTTCATAGGTTTGAATTGCAGATCAATCGATATATCGCAAAGCACGCCACGCCACTGATATCGATGCGTAGAGTGAGAAACCACGGATGTCTGTTTGCGAAGTTGCAGACTTCCTATCATTATTCTTTTTCTCTTTGGAAAACTAGTCAACGGGGTTTCTTGAAAACTTCCTTGGTTTTTTTTTTTTTTTTTTTTTTTTTTTTTTTTTTTTTTTTTTTTTTTTTTCATTTAGCGGAATAAAGTTTTAAGCTACAGAGTTGGATTGTTTCTCTTCGTAAACATAATATAGGAGTGTAAATTTTGAAACACCGCAATGGAGATACGTGCCTTTGCACTTTGGTCATAGATATTTCTGAATTCGTTCCTTATTGGAGATTCGCTGCTCTTATTATCAATCTATGGCCAAATGCGACCCAGTCGCCAGTTGGATGGCGATTCTAACATCACAAAATATCTGCAGACGGTTTATTTATAGAGCAAGTACACGATATAGGTAATGAAGGTAAAAAACCGAAAAAAAAAAGATGATGGCTTAACATTCTGGATGTAAGGGCCGCGGCCCATGGCGGCAAATCTAGGGAGCGAAAAATTTTTGCAATTTTTTTAAATGTAGGTATAAAGAAAAATCGGATTTAGAAAAAAAAAATTACAAACGAGAAAAGGCTACAAAATCTCTCATTTCCTGAGAGTATAGTACTTTCTAATTTTGTTGTCTTTCAGTGATACAAGAGACAGCACCTTTAATTAGTCGAGTTAAGAGAGAAACCAAACACACAATGTGGCGCGACTTAGGAAGAAATGATGACGAGGACTTGAGATGAAAAAGAGAAGCCCTCGGCGCGGCAGTCGGCATGCAACACATATTAGCGCCTACAAGACCACACGAATACTTCACGCATTGCGCCAAACACAGTGCGGTCAGCGTGAAACGCATAGCGCCTACAAGACTGCGTGAATACTTCACGCATTGCGCCAAACACTAGTTTGACTAGATATAGGGGTGTACTTTCAAGATAGCGTGGGATATTCCCTCCATTACGGCCTCAACTTTGAGACCTTTTGAGCTTCGGAGTTCGTTCCAGGGAAAACCGGTAGCACCATCGTACATTGAGAAAAAGCTATGGCTTATAAATCAATTTGTGGTTCATATAGAACACCAATAATACATTTAATAGCGCACATACCTTAGTGATGGTGTATATACCTTATCATGGCACGACATACCTTAGTATGGTTCACAGACCGATAATCATTAGTTCATTTAAGACTATTGGTGGTGTTCCACATGAACTAAAATTGCTTTATAAAGCCATAGATTATTTGTATTTCTCGCAAAATTTCACCCAAAAATAAGTACTTAAATTGCAAACCCTTCAGATATGCGATAATGCGATCCATTTGCATTCAATTTCGCTGATTTTTATTTTCGGATCAGTATGACCACGAAGTGACTGGGCCGCATAGTTGCAAGAGGGATGACCCCTCAGTAGTGAGTTCGAAGTCAGCGTGGTGCAATCGAACGCTGTCCGGCGGTATACTGCCGTGCCAAGGAAAAACGCCGTATGAACCTCCAGACGTTGCCAAATTTTCATCTATAAAACACGAATTTCCTGGTAAACTTATGAATGGATTTTCTTCCAATTTTTCAGATAATGTTGTTTGCAATGTAACCTAAATCTCCTGAAACGTTCGAAGCAAAGTTTTCATAACTTTCCTACAAAATAAACATTTTATCAAAGGAAATTTGGCAACTCTCGAATGTTCATACGGCGTTGTTCCTTAGCACGGCGGTAGTGTGACAAGCGATGAGCCGTCGCCGATCAATTAATCTATTTTCGAGTCATGGTGAGTTTTAGGCTTCTTGATTGAGTCGGACGCACGGGAGGCTGGAAACGGGGACACGGTCGATTAGTGCCCTTTGCAATTTTGATGATCTTTACCTTCGCTCTTCAACCCAACTCTTGCGTACCGCCGCACATTGGTCCCCGGGTCGCGGAAAAGGACCGTCGGCGTCCTCGCAATGGAGATGTTGCATGTGTGAGGAATTTGCGATTTGACTGTTGATTCTTATGTAAAAGTTCGCGAGAAACACGATGATGCTACTGGTTTTCTTTGAAATCAATTCCCGAGCTCAGAAAAGCTCTGAAGTTGAGGCCAAAATGGAGGGAATATCCCACCCTACCCTGAGAGTCCACCTCTACATCAAGACAAACTCTCCATGCAAAAATAGGGAGCAAATACATTAGCAGTGATGCCGTGTTTTCAGTTTTGGAGTCCCCAAACAAAGTGGCAGCCCTGTCAATGTATTTGCTCCCTATCTTTGCATGGAGAGTTTGTCTTGATGTAGACGTGGACTCTCAGTGTAGGGTGGGATATCCCCTCCATTTTGGCCTCAACTTGAGAGCTTTTTTTGAGCTTGGGAGTTAATTTCAGAGAAAACCAGTGGCACCATTGTGTTTCTCGCGAACTTTTACATAAGAATCAACAGTCAAATCGCAAATTCCTCACACATGCAACATCTCCATTAAACCGATGGATTAGGGTAGATGATTGCCCAGATCGAAAAAGAATGGACAACTCTGAAATACCGAAAATTAATCAGACCTTCGCTGCTACCTCAGCGAAAGTGGGTTTTCTCCGCGTGCAGACCGGAGGCTTCAAAGAGGCTCATCGTTGAAAGTGTTGAGTG